CAGGGGCCGCCAGGGCCGCGGGGGGTCAGGCTGGGTCTGGGCCTGGTGCTGCTCTCCGCGGGTCCGGCGGCCCCGGCCAGCTCAGGACAGCTCGCGCTGTCCCTCCCCGGGCGTGAGTCTGACCGTCTTCCGGGGCAGGGCCGGATCTTGGCCCTCCCCGGACGAGGCCGCCGTCCTCCTCGTCCAGGTTCCTGGGCGGGCAGCATGCTGTCCCGGTCACCCGTGTCCTCACCCCCGGCTGGAGGCCTGGCCCTGGGCAAAGTGTGCTCCTCGGCGGCTGGACACTGGACAGTGAGAGGGACGCGGCGCTGGACTCGGAGCTCGAGTTCAATCTGCAGGAAGCACAGGGGTGTCCAGTGTCCAGGCAGGCGCCTCCCTTGCCCTGGCCTGCACTGCACCCACACCCCTGGGCACTCTGTCCCCGTCTGCAGCTGGCCTGGGGTCACCCAGGCTGGGGCTGTCAGCGCGTCCCTTCCCGAGTGCCCAGGGGGGCCAGCTCGTCTACCCGCTCCCGCCCGGAGGTGAAACGGGACCCTGCTGGGGCAGCGGGGAGTCCCTGCCCGCGGTGACGGGTCGGGAACCACCTAAGAGCCCCAGCAGGGTGGCCACAGGGAGGCGGCCCCCAGCGGGCGCCCGGGGCCCAGGGGCCAGCGCCGGCCCGAGGAAGCCCTCCGGGCACGAGGCCCCGGCAGGGCTGCCCTGGGCTCCGTCCGCTCCGCGCCGTCGCACGGCTCCAGTGCACAGAGACGCGTCGCTGTTTCATATTGGACAAGTGGGGGCTCCCGGGGCGCCACGGCCCCTGGGACCCCGCAGGGCAGGGACCTTGCGCAGAGCCCCCGCCCCCCGCTGCCCCTCAGCAGGGAGTCTCGGGGACCCGCCTTCCTGCTCCTCTGGCTGCGCCCCAGCTCTGTGCGTGTAAATGAATCATTAAAAACCACATTTAACACTTGGCAGGGCAGGTAGACACCACGAGCGCCGGGAGCAGACCTGCCCGCAAGACGCTTTCACAGGGGTGTCAGGGACCCCGAGCCACCGCCGCGAGCCGGGCACGGCACCCCGAGGTCCGGGGCCGCTGGGCCGGTCCTCG